ATCTTTCTTCTATCATTGACAGTCCCTCTAGGTTGTGGGCTGCTTGCCTGTGTTCCTGAGAAGCATCTACGGTACCAGTCTATAGAGTGTGTTTTCTTTAGTGAATTACCGGTATGTTTACCGGTAATAAACTTGCACTGTTTTATGTATATGTTTGATTACATACAGCCTTGTGACAGTTTTCCTGCATGTCATAAGCATTTGAATATAAATTAAAATGTTAAAATCAAATCTGATATTGTTTTACCTTTTATTTGGTGTGTGGAAGGTGTGTGGAAGAGGGGGTAGTCTCATACGGCGAGTATATAACAAACTCTGTATTTTGAGTGGAAATGTTAGGGGGTCGTCTTATACGCCCAGTCGTCTTATACGCCGGCAAATACGGTAGTTTCTCTGCTCTCATACTCGTGGTGAAAGAATGGAAATACAGTTTTCCTTGGCACTTTAGATTAGGTCTCTTTTTAACTGTCTATAAAATATTGTCTTACAGGAAAATGGCTAATGGACAGGACCGGGTAGTTGCTCTAGTGGACATGGACTGTTTTTTTGTTCAAGTGGAGCAGCGGCAAAATCCTCACTTGAGGAATAAACCTTGTGCAGTCGTGCAGTACAAATCATGGAAGGGTGGTGGGTATGCATCATAGTTATTGTAACTGTCAACTACTGTTCTAATCTGTAAGAATGCAATGCATGGCCCTATGCTAGGCATTTTTGAGATGTCTGAACTGCTGTGTTTGAAATGAAATAGTGGCATCTGTGGCCAAAAAGTTTCTACTATTATATGTATAGCCTATTCATGATAAATCTTAATTATTTGTGCCTGTGTCAGGTAATATTTTTCTGTCCCTTTCTTTTGGTAACCTTAGAATAATTGCAGTGAGTTATGAAGCTCGTGCATTTGGAGTCACCAGAAACATGTGGGCAGATGATGCTAAGAAGTTATGCCCAGATCTTCTTCTGGCACAAGTTCGTGAGTCTCGTGGGAAAGCCAACCTCACCAAGTAAGAAGGAAAGATGATTTGAGGGGAATGGAAGGGTTGGAAATATTATTCCATGAGGCTAGGAACTGATTTTTCAAATTTGTTTTGTGTAAATAACATCTGAAAAAGTTATCTTTGGTCAGCCAACTTTTCTATGATACTGTTTCAGGAACAGTTCAGTCATTATAACCTATAATAATTACTGCCTTGACATCCTTCCAGTTTCTTATTTAAAAATGGGTTGTTATACTTAAAACTTAATATCAAATTATATCTTCTCAGGCCAAGTCTGAAGTGTTTGATGTAATTAAATTGACTGTGAAACTAAGAGTTTACCAGAGAAGACTTAGTCAAACTGACATTCTAGTGCAGTGGTTCTCAACCTGTGGGTCGCAACCTTTTTGGCGGTCGAACGACCCTTTCACAGGGCTCGCCTAAGACCATCCTGCATATCAGATATTTACATTATGATTCATAACAGTAGCAACATTACAGTTATTAAGTAGCAATGAAAATAATTTTATGATTGGGGTCACAACATGAGGGACTGTATTTAAAGGGCCAGAAGGTTGAGAACCACTGTTCTAGTGCAATATCTAGAATTATTTGCCAGAATGAAACGGTTTCAAAGGAGATTACCTTCTCTGTTTTTGAATTGAGTTGTCTCTTTCCAAATTTTAGAAGGTTTGGAATGGGAGACATATATAAGCATAGCCAAGTTAGAGGTAGGTATAAGCCCAAGCCATTATAATAATCCTAATAGTATGCATTGAGCTTATGTCATATGCCAAGCACCAGGTTAAGCCCTTCCCCAACAATTTTTTTGTTAAAAACGTTTATTTTTCAGACTAATTTTTTTATTTTGGTTCTATATAGTATTTTTGATGCTGGTTATGAAAACAGTTTGTAACTCGTCTTCCTATAAACCATATTTTTTTACCATATTTTCTTAGTATACTCGTCGACGACTGAAAAAGAACATTTTGTGAAAACGAGTATACACGTTTCTGCCGGGGAAGGGGTTAAGCTCTCCATAGGCAATGTCTCTTAAATCTCACATTGCTATGTGGTATGTTTTAGTAGTACTCTCCCCCCATACACACACCCTCCCACACACAGACAAGGAAAGAAGTTTAGAGACATTCAATAAGTTCCTACAGCTAAAAAGTAGAAGACTGAATTTTTTTCTCTTTCCAGTATCCACATTCTCACACTACATTATACTGTGTGGTGTGATGTGTAGGGATCATGCTATGACTTGGGACTTGAGATATTCCTGAATTCACCTGTGAATTGGAAGTCTAAAGGTAGAGTGTCATAGCCAACCACATATTGAAGTTATCACCAGAAAAGATAGATTTGACCGAGCTTAATACTTTAATCATAAATTAAAATTAATTTAGCTAGTGGACATAATGTAATTTCCCAGAAATATAGTTGACTTCAGAGTGTGATTTTAAAAAGTCACATGCCACCAACTTTATTTTTTTTAAAATATATTTTATTGACTTTTTACAGAGAGGAAGGGAGAGAGATAGAGAGTTAGAAACATCGATAGAGAGAAACATCGATCAGCTGCCTCCTGCACATCTCCACTGGGGATATGCCCGCAACCCAGGTACATGCCCTTGACCGGAATTGAACCTGGGACCCCTCAGTCCGCAGGCCGACGCTCTATCCACTGAGCCAAACCAGTTTTGGCCATGCCACCAACTTTAAACTTTTTGAAAGGCAGTTTTAGAAAATTCAGGAGAGAATTTATAGGCCAGAGAATTATTAAGACTTGATCATTTAAAATTGTTATTTTAATAATTGACCTGAGATACAAGATTATAAAAATTAAAATATGATTTGCAGAAATGTATATACACTAAGTTTATTAAATATTCTTAAAAATACTTTGGAGTAATTTGCTTAAGAGGCTGTGAAGGAACACTAACTACTGCAATAGAGTATCCTTTCTTTGCTCTGCCCTGGCCACGTAGCTCAGTTGGTTAGATGATCATCCCAATACACCAAGGCTGCAGGCTCAATCTCTGGTCAGGGCACATATAAGAATCAACCAATGAATGCATAAATAAATGGAACAGCAAATCAATGTTTCTCTCTCAAATCAATCAATAAATGTTTAAATTCTTTCAATTGTCCTTTCCTTGCTCTGTTTGTGGGTGAGTGTACTGTGTGCGCTCTCTCTCTCTCTCTTTAATATGTTTTTATTGATTTCAGAGAGGAAGGGAGAGGGAGAGAGAGATAGAAACATCAACAATGAGAGAGAATCACTGATTGGCTGCCTCCTGCATGCCCCCTACTAAGGATTGAGCCCACAACACAGGCATATACCCTTGCCCAGAATCAAACCCTGGACACTTCAGTCAGTAGGCAGATGCTCTATCCACTGAGCAAAACCAGCTAGGGCCTCTCTCTTTTGATATATTTTTATTGATTTCAGAAAGGAAGGGAGAGGAAGAGAGAGATAGAAACATCAATGATGAGAGAATCATTGATTGGCTGCCTCCTGCACGCCCCCTACTGGGGATCCAGCCCACAACCTGGGCAGGTGCCCTGAACTATGGCCTCTTGATTCATAGGTTGACATGGAGCTCTTTTTTATTTGAAGTCTGACTATCCTCTCTCCAGCCCAAATAATGACTGAAAGAAAAAAAGCTGTCTTTCTCTAATTCTTTCATTTGAGAATGTTTTAGAACAATAATTATACCAGTTTTGATAGATGTTTTGGTGAAGTGCAAATGTTTTCATTTTTATGATAAATAAAATAGGTTCAACGGGAACAAAGAACTTATTTAAACTCCATAGCAAGTCCAAAGCAAAGAAAACATCCACATATTGCCTAGAAAACTAGCTACATTAGCCAGAAAAGCTGCTTGTTAGGATTTGAATAGACGTATATGGTGAGATTTGTATCCCCTAACAGAGGGTGTCTGCCTGCCCAGACACATTACCACATTCTAGGAGCTTATCTTCAACTTGATAATTTGAATGTTAGTATATTCAGAAGTGCTTGGACTTTATTGGTTGTGTGTGTGTGTGTGTGTGTGTGTGTGTGTAGCAATAACCAGCTCACATGTTAATCAAACAAATATAAAATCCACACGTCACTTTGCTAGTTTATAAATAAAAATACCAGCCTGAGAAAGACAAGATACTTGGGTTCACTAATCAGTGTAGTGTTCCCTATAAGTTACCTCTTATTTGAAGACAAAGGTCAAAGCAGAATACTATGTGGGTGTATTTCATATAGAATACTATATGAAAATAACAAAAGGAATAGTAGATGATCATAGTAAAATATTTTCTAGTTAAACTAGTTTGAAGCATTGCTTTTCTCTTTAGAGAGATACTTGTCACACAGATATGTTCATGGTCTAGACCAGTGGTTCTCAACCTTCTGGCCCTTTAAATACAGTTCCTTATGTTGTGACCCAACCATAAAATTATTTTCGTTGCTACTTCATAACTGTAATGTTGCTACTGTTATGAATCGTCATGTAAATATCTGATATGCAGGATGGTCTTAGGCGACCCCTGTGAAAGGGTCGTTCGACTGCCAAAGGGGTCGCGACCCACAGATTGAGAACTGCTGGTCTAGAAGCTTTCTACCTTGGTGTGCTGGAGTTGCACTACAAATGTCTGCCTTCATGGTTCTTTTTCCTTGCTTTTGTTATTGACCATCTTCTGACTTATCAATTGGGTTACTATCTAGTCTCTGACAAGCCAGTCTTCTCGTTAAGGAGTTTTTACCCTGATTATGTATATTATTATTCTATTATGAGGGAGGTATGTGGCCCACAGTCTCAATGTTGCCTCCATTTAGTGCCTACATGTATAATCATACTTTTTAGGTACCGGGAAGCCAGTGTGGAAGTGATGGAGGTAATGTCTCATTTTGCTGTGATTGAACGTGCCAGCATTGATGAAGCTTATGTAGACCTGACCAGTGCTGTACAAGAGAGACTGCAAAAGCTACAAGGTCAGCCTATCTCAGCAGACTTGTTGCCAACCACCTACATTGAAGGATTGCCCCAAGGCTCTACAACAGCAGAAGGGACAATCCAGAAAGGTACTTCATAGCATCATTTGCTTCTGCTTCCTGCCTTTGGAACCTGCTTTGCTTGGTCACACTGATACTTCTTGGATTGATTGAAAGGAAACTTAAACTACAACCTGAATGAATCACAAGGACTCACATAGAAGGATATGCAAATTCTCTTATCTTTCCAGGTATATGGATGTTTAAAAGCGTGGACTCTGTATGAAATCAAGTTTCTCTTCAGATATGAGAGTTACCCATAGAAGTTACCCATAGAGTTACCCATAGAAGTCTGACTGAGCACTTTCATCATTTTGAAAGTTAATTTATATTATTGTAACTTGGTTTCTTTATCAAAAGAAGGGTGAATTTATTTTTAAGGGAGACCCCAAGTACCGGGAGTTGAATCACTCAAAATTTCTAATCAGTTCATAGCACACTGTCAATGAGCTATGCAAAGGCCTCTCTCATTTAATTTTACTTCTTTTTCCCTTCATTGTGATTTCTCCCACTCCCTCCTGACCTCATATATCCTTTTGCACCTACCAATATATTGGTATTTGGCATATCTTCTTAAGTATGTATATGTCTTTATAATTATACAATGTTGCTTTGTGTATGTGCTTTTTACATTTTTGCTTTTTAATTAGAGTATTATATTTATAGAGCTCATTCTTTTTCTTAATTTTCTCTCAAAATTAAGAAAATAGTTGATTTTATAGCTCTGTCTGTATAGCTGTGTGTTTTTAGAGAGAAAGGAAGGGAGAGGGATAGAGAGATAGAAACATTGATGAGAGAGAAGCATCATTGGCTGCCTCCTGCACACCCCCTTCTGGGGATCTAGCCTGTAACCCGGCTTTACCTACCCGGCAAAAACTTATAATTTGCATGAAATACTTTAAAAAGAAAATGTACTTGCTGGTTAAAAATATTTTCTTAGACTAGAATAAAATTAGGGCAATAAAATATTTGCTTTCGTGGTAATATTAGATTATGGTGGTTCTAAATACCAGACCTAAGAGAATCTGGGTCTTACATTTTTAATCAAATATTATGAAAAGAGAAATCTGTGGGATTTCCCAGAGAAAATAATTCTTTCTGTATCTAGAAGCTTTTAATCAGGGTGTTCAGACATTTTTCATAGACATTTTCTAGTACTATTGATCAAGGCTATATTCAAAACGGTGTATCTATTCTCCCCTTCATTTGTAACATGTACTTTTAAAACTATTATTTTGTAACATTGTTCTTATTCAGAAGAGCTCTTTCACTAAAAAAAAAACACACAAAAAAAACACCACTTTAAATATTGGACATTAGTCAAAAGAAACTGTCTGGATACAAATGTGTAGCAAATTAACTTCTTGGGGGTAAAAATAAGGCAATTTGTTATTACTTGTAGAAATAATATAGATTTCTCCAGGAAAACCTCCAAGAGAGTTTAGCTTATTTCTAGTTACAGTGGTTAATTTGCCAAAGGGTTTCATGTTTTAAAATAAGATACGCCTTTAACATGTTGTGCTGAAGGGTAGTAGAACTATCTAGGGAAGCCTGTGGGAATAACCATTGAGAAATCACTTTATTCTCTGATCCTGATATAGGAGAGTTTATCAAGCTGGAGTCTGCAGATCCTTTAGTTCTATAGGGGAAATAGAGTGTACAATAAAAATGTGCTGCTTCAAAGAGGCAAAGTTGTGGTACATAACCATTTGACGATGAAACATGTCATGATTTCTTTTTTGTTTGTTTGTTAATCCTCACCCAAGGATATTTTTCCATTGATTTTTAGAGAGAGTGGAAGGGAAAGGGAGAAACAGAGAGAAACATGATGTGAGAGAAAGACAGCAATTGGTTGCCTCCCACACATACCTAGATCAGGGCCAGGGATCAACTGAGGTACATGCCCTTGACAGGAATCGAACCTAGGACCCTTCAGTCTGTGGACACACTATCCACTGAGCCAAACCGGCTAGGGCATGATTTCTTTATTATTCTAGGACCAAAGTCAGAAATGTAATGATCATAATAAGGAAGGTTGTCTTGGTCTTAACTTTGTGTATCACGTTCTTTTAAAAAATATGTTTTTTACTTCAGAGAGAAGAACGGGGAGGAAGAAAGAGATAGAAATGTCAATGATGAGAGAGAATCATTGATCTGCTGCCTCCTGCACATTGCCTACTGGGGCATGTGCTCTAACAGGGAATCCAACTGTGACCTCCTGGTTGATAGGTCGATGCTCAATCACTGAACCATACCAGCCAGGGTGTGTGTATCACATTTTATTGTGTAGCTTATTTAAGTAAACATTTGAAATTTCTTTTATAATGCTTTAGTCATTGGTTCTTTGTTTTATTTTTTTGTTTTATTTTGAGGGCTGCATACTCTTTTGAAAATCTGTTGAAAGCTATGCACCCTTGCTTGTCTCAGAAAAACAAATATACACATAAGACAATTTAGTGTGCAGTTTTCAGGAGATTCACAGATCCACTGAAACCCACACACCTCAGAATAAGAACTTTTACTATAAATTACATTGGTTTTTGGCTAATACTCATTGAGCAGCTCTCTGGATGATGATGGAACATACCTTTGCTGGTGGTCAAATATTCACTCAAATGGACATGCTCCTTTTTTTTCTAGACTTATCTTTCTTATCTATATACATTTTTATTTAAAATGCTAGTTGCCTAGCCAGCGTGGTTCAGTGGTTGAATGTCAACCTATGAACCAGGAGGTCATGGTTCAATTCCTGGTTAGGGCACATGCCGGGGTTGCAGGCTCAGTCCCTATTGTGGGGTGTGCAGGAAGCAGCCGATCAATGATTCTCTCACATCACTGATGTTTCTGTCTCTCTCTCTCTCTCCCTCTCCCTTTCTCTCTGAAATAAAAAATATATATGTTTTTTTAAAAATGACAGTGTTTATAAAGAAGTCTGAGGTATCTGTTGCTTTAATGTGGCCAGTTTAAATATTAAGCTTTCAGATTCAGTGATATATTATTTATAGAGTTCAGAATATTGCAATGTCTAGTGAATGGTTTATGATTGCATGTCATATTCTTGAGTCTTCATCTGATATGTACAACAAAAAACTGATAACAGAAATTAGCTGATCTAAGTACATATAACCTTTACCATTCTGATTCTTAATGGGTTCAAAGTTGGCAGTCCTGCTAACCATGCTGCATTTGCAACTTGGTATTTTCTGTTTCCGAAACAGTTATGTGTGTGTGTGTGTGGAAAGTTTAAGTAGTAGGATTACTTAAAAATAGTACTGAAGAATTGCCAGAGTAAAAAATTTCTCTTTAGGGCCATTTTGTAACTAGTTTGTGTTCACTAAGTAACTCATTTGTTCTTTCCTCCTGTGCTTGCTCTTAATTCATTTCTTTCTTTTTAAAAAAAATATATATTTTTATTGATTTTAGAGAGGAAGGGAGAGGGATAGAGAGATAGAAACATCAATGATGAGAGAGAATCATTGATCGGCTGCCTGCTGCACGCCCCCCACAGGGAATCAAGCCCTCAACTCTGGGCATGTGCCCTTGGCCAGAATAGAACCTGCGGCCCTTCAGTCCGCAGGCTGATGCTCTTATGCACTGAGCCAAACTGGCCAGGGCCACATATTAAATAGCTTCTGAATGCATATGACATGAAACAGTGATGTATTAATTTCTTTTTTTCTAAACACATATTAAATAGCTTCTGAATGCATATGACATGAAACTGATGTATTAATATAAACTATCATAAATAAACTGTCAAAGGTAAAAGTTTTAGAAGTTAAGAGTCCTTGCTCACTTTGAAGAAGTAAGCTGCCATGTTATGAGAGGGCCTTTGACGAAGACCCCATGGCTAGATTCTGATTGCTGCCCTCTGCTGACAGCCAGCAAGAAAACAGGGGCCTTGATCCTACAAGCTGCAAAATGATAAATTTTGGCAACAACCTGATGGAGCTTGGAAAGCACTAATCAGCTTTCCAAGGGATTTATTTCTCTTTTGTAGTTATGGTCCCTGGAGTTGTGGAGTCTAGCTAGAGGTTTATCAGTCTAAGCCCGAAGTTTTGGCACAAGTCAGCAATGCTCACTCTTATGCCTGTTCTATTCAACATTGTACTGGAAGTACAAGATGGTCCATTCAGGACAGAAGAGGAAATAGAAGGAAAAAGTAAACTTTCTTTGCAGGTGACATTACCATGCTTGTAGAAAAACCCTAAAAAGTCTACCACCACCAAAAAACACCACCACCACAAAAATAAAATAAAATAAGTGAGATTAGAAAGGTTACAGGGGAAAGGTCAATCTAAAAATCAATTGCATTTCTATATACTAAAATTTTAAAATGAGAAATTGAGATTTTCAAAGCAATATTATTGGCAATAGCATTAAAATCATGAAATTATCAGAGAATGTTAATAATACATGTGGAAAACTAGGTCAGCAAAAACATCACTGAACCCGGCTAGCGTGACTCAGTGGTTGAGCGTCAACCTATGAACCAGGAAGTCACGGTTCGATTCCCAGTCAGGGCACACGCCCGGGTTGCTGGCTCCATTCCTACTCGGGTGTGTGTAGGAAGCAGCCAGTCAGTGACTCTCTCTCATCATTGATGTTTCCATCTCTCTCCCTCTCCCTTCCTCTCTGAACTCAATAAAAAAATTTTTCAAAAAAGAAAAGGAGTCCAGAAATCCCCACAATTTCAGTAAGTTATCTTGTTTCACAAAGCTATTACTAAATACTAATAAATGGTTGGATGTTATACTTAGTGTTCTATGGGGTGCAGTATACAATCATTTTATAGACAATAAAACCAAAGCTTAGAGAGTTATGTAACTTGCTCAAAGTCACATCATAAGTTGTGAAGCCAATATTTGAATCGGTCCTGACTGTGGAATGTGTTCTTTTAACAATTATGCTAGACTTGTTGCATATAAGAGCTAAAGGACTTTCGTGGGACACCCTAAAGTTAGCTAGAATAGTTGAAGAGGATCTCATGATAGATAAGACTTGAGATAAGCCCTGAAGTACAGATAAGATTTATTTAAGCAAAGGGGAGAACAGAACAGAGTTAAGGAGTAAGAGTAGGGAGATAGAATATAATGTCTTGAGGTAGAAACATGGCATGTTCAGGAAATTTAAGGATATAACAAATTTGGGATTAGTGGAAGATAAATTTAAAGGGCAGTGGGCCTGCCGAAACTAGTTTGGCTCAGTGGATAGAGCGTTGGACTGCGGACTGAAAGGTCCCAGGTTCGATTCCGGTCAAGGGCATGTACCAGGGTTGCGGGCACATCTCCAATAGGAGATGTGCAGGAGGCAGTTGATTGATGTTTCTCTCTCATCGATGTTTCTAACTCTCTATCTCTCTCCCTTTCTCTCTGTAAAAAATCAATAAAATATATTTTTTTAAAAAATAAAGGGCAGTGGGCCCTAGACAGTTTGGCTCAGTGGATAGAACATTGGCCTGTGGACTGAAGGTTCCGCGTTTGGTTCCTGTCAAGGGCACATGCCCAGGTTGCGGGCCTGATCCCCAGTGGGGGGTGTGCAGGAGGCAGCTGATCAATGATTCTCATCATTGATGTTTCCATCTCTCCCTTCCTCTCTGAAATAATAAACATATATTTAAAAATAAATAAATAAAAAGGCAGATGGGCCCTGCTGGTGTTGCTCAGTGGGTAAAGTGTTCGCCTGTGCACCAAAGGGTCTTGGGTTCAATTCCCAGTCAAGGGCATATACCTGGGTTGCAGGTTCCATCCCCAGCCCTGGGTAGGATGCATGGGGGAGGCAACCAATCAATATCTCTCTCAAATCAATGTTTCCCCTCCCCCCCCTCCTCCCCATCCCCTACTATCCTCCCTTCCACTCTCTCTAAACACCAATGGAAAAAGTATTCCCAGGTGAGTAACAAACAAAAAAAAGAAAAGAAAAAGGCAGACAGTTGTCAGTGCCAATTTATAGAGTTGATTATTTTGTAAGTGTGAAAGTCAATGACAATTTTGAATAGGCATTTAAGATTGATAACATTGGTATTTGAGAATGTTTAATTTGTGGAGACTGTGTAGAAGGCATGAATAAAGAAAACCTGAATAAAATAGGATGGGTTAAGATGGATATGTGAAATATTTTGAAGTGGGCTTTCACTAAATAACTAAATAATGAGGAATAAAAGAAAAAAACAAAATTATTTGTTTTTTAAACTTTCATTAGAAATTGATCTCTCTTGTAAGTACCAGTCTTCTAAAACGGCTGCCATTTCTGTGAAAACCTACATGTATCTAAAGTACCTGAAATTGAAGCATTTCTGCATTAGATAACACAAATAAAATTCTGATTTAAAAAAATTTCTAAATGTGACCTCTCAACTTTTTCAGAGGAGATGCGAAAACAAGGCTTATCGCAATGGCTTGATTCCCTTCAGTTTGATAACACCCCCTCTCCAGACCTACAGCTCACCGTGGGAGCAGTGATTGTGGAGGAAATGAGAGCAGCCATCGAGAGGCAGACTGGGTTTCAGTGTTCAGCTGGGATCTCACACAATAAGGTGAAGGCTAATGGCGGATTTCAAAGAGAAACATAGATCCTGTCCTTAATACAGCACGGATAGAGATGAGTGGGGCATTGAAATCATTACATATATACTTTGCAGCGGGTTTCTGTTTGTTTATTTATTAAAATATTTTTATTGATGTCAGAGAAGAAGGAAGAGGAAGAGAGATAGAGAACCATCAATGATGAAAGAGAATCATTGATCAGCTGCCTCCTGCCACCCCCTACTGGGGATCGAGCTGGCAACCTGGGCATGTGCCCTGACTGGGAATCAAACCAGACACTCAAACCACTGAGCCTGGCTGGGTTTCTATTTAAAATTCATGTTGAGGACTAAATAAAAGCCTAAGTAATTCTTTAACATGAGAATCAATATTGAACATGTACTTTCTTAAGAGCCCTGGCTGGTTTGGCTCAGTGGATAGAGCATTGGCCTGAGGACTGAAGGGTCCCAGGTTCAGTTCCAGACAAGGGCACATGCCCGGGTTGGGGCCTCCATCCCCAGTGGGTGGCATGCAGGAGGCAGCTGATCAGTGGGTCTATCTTATCATTGATGTTTCTCTCTCTCTCTCCCTCTCCCTTCCTCTCTGAAATCAATAAAAAATAATTTAAAATAATTTAAAAAAGAAGCAAGCTGAAAAATTTGCAGAAAATGCTTATTTATATAGTTGCATCCAAAGTATTTCCTTAATGACTGAACTATCTAGAAAGTAGGAGGCTAGTCTTTGAATCTATTTTCTTTTTATTTCCAGAATATTCCAGTATTATCTGATTTCTTTCAAGTTTCTTTTTTTTAGATTTTTAAATTGATTTTTAGAGAGAGAGGAAGGGAGAGAGAAAGAGAAACATCAAGGTGAGACCAGAACATTGATGGGCTGCCTTCTGTACACCCCCTACTGGGAATCGAGACCAAAATCTGGGCATGTGCCCTGGCAGAATTGAACCGGCAACCTTTCAGTGTATGACTGACACCAGCCAACTGAGCCACACTGGCCAGGGCTTATTACAGTATCTCATTTCTTATGTGGAGTGACCTAGGTGTTTTATGCTTTGCCTATTCCCCCATTCCTAATAAGAGAAATGAAAGAGTAAAGTTTTATTAATTTGAACACTATTTTGATTTATGGGATATGGGCACTTTTAATCCAGGGGCAGAGTAACTGGTTTTCTGATTAAAGTTCAGTGAGGGCCTGGGGTGTTCTTCCCCTTCTGACTAGGCTCAATAATTGGGCAGTGGCTGAGTATTGGTTACTACCTTCTCCCCCCTCACTCCGATAAGAGGGAAGTTGACAAACTACCCAGAAGAATTTGGGTGTTTTTGTTTTGTTTGTTTTTCTGCTTGGGTGGAAGAAAAGAAAAGTCCCAATGTAATAATTTAAACCAGACTAAGTATTGCCCAGTAAAAGTTCCAGAGAATCCCTCCAATAAACTTAAAGAATCGTTTTATACTTTCCCCAGCAATTTAAGTTGTGATATGGTACCCCTGAAGTACCTTATTCTTTGAAAGAGTTCTCAAGGATTTAAATTTGTTTCATTTTGAAGTTCTGTGCATAGTATAAAATGTTTACTGTTGGAGGATGATTCTGAGCCCAATCATTATGAGAGATACTAAATTAGGGCAATATGTATTAAATCCAGGACTATGGACTAACCATTAATCAAGAAATGTAGCCGAAACCGGTTTGGCTCAGTGGATAGAGCGTCGGCCTGCGGACTGAAAGGTCCCAGGTTCGATTCCGGTCAAGGGCATGTACCTGGGTTGCGGGCACGTCCCCTGTGGGAGATGTGCAGGAGGCAGCGGATCGATGTTTCTCTCTCATCGATGTTTCTAGCTCTCTATCTCTTCCCTTCCTCTCTGTAAAAAAATCAATAAAATATATTAAAAGAAAAAGAGAAATGTAAATAGCCTGGCGTGTAGCTCAGCGGTTGAGCATTAACCCAGGAACCAAGCCAGAGGCTGCTGGTTCAATCCCCTGTGGGGCCTTGCAGGAGGCAGCTGATTGATGATGCTTCTCTCTCATTGATGTTTCTATCTCTCTATCCCTCTCCCTTCCTCTCTCTCTAAAACATATTTTTTAAAAAAATGTAAATAAATGGGTAAAACAAATTTGTTTCAGCGTTTTCATATGAACACGTTAAGAAATGCATCATAAGTTTCTTCTGCAGTTTCTCTGCTTTTTACCCTCTTGAAGTGGGAGACGGGGGTGGAAAATTACTAAAGGAAAACCGATAATGGAAGATCTGGAAAGAACTATGTGGATAATGATGGTGGGTCATGTTTTCCACTAAGGGTGTTGTGCCCAACCAGTGTTTAGAGAGGTTGAGTTTCTGGTTTTGTTTTTAATGTGGACACCATTAGTTACAGCCCTTAGCTGTGCCTGCATGTGTATGTGTATGTTAATATTCACCAGTTTTCTGTGAGGGTGTTGACAGCAATGAGGTTTTTACACTTTCCATCCTCCAGGTTCTGGCAAAACTGGCCTGTGGACTACACAAGCCCAACCGCCAGACCCTGGTCTCACATGGGTCAGTCCCACAACTCTTCAGCCACATGCCTATTAACAAAATGTAAGTATTTGGGGAGCGCCTTAAATTTCACTCAGAGATATCTGAAGGCATTCCTCTGGTTGTAGTTTCTTCTGTTCCTTAAGGATTGGAACCATGGGAAATAGGTACTAAGGAGGGAGATAACAAAATTTTGAGAAACACACAGACTTTTTTCCTTAACAAAATCAATTCTGGATTATCTGTGGAAGATACTAAATACTGAATTTTCAAAAATGAACTGATTTTTAGATGTATGTTTAACTTCCCTCTAGACTTTTTATTCAAATCTGTTACTAAATAACAAAATAAATAGGAGTTCTACTTCTTCTAATATCATATCAAGGTATTCAGGGCTACTGAATTGCTCCCAAACTGAGGCATGAAAGAATCCAAACAAAGTGAATATCTAGGTCAGTGATGGCGAACCTATGACACGTGTGTCAGAGGTGACACGCGAACTCATTTTTTTGGTTGATTTTTCTTTGTTAAATGGCATTTAAAGATATAAAATAAATATCAAAAATATAAATCTTTGTTTTACTATGGTTGCAAATATCAAAAAATTTCTAAATGTGACACAGCGCCAGAGTTAAGTTAGGGTTTTTCAAAATGCTGACATGCCAAGCTCAAAAGGTTCATCTTCACTGATCTAGGTTTTGCCTGCCAATTGTGTGTCCTTTACAAGGGCTTATAATATTGTTGAAGGGACAAGATAGGACAGGTCAAAGCAACTGTGAGAGTGTTATCATGAGAGTGTATGTGATTGCTAAATGAATTGTACAGGGAGTTACCAAAGTTCATAGAAGAGTAGTTTCAAAAGGATTTATGAAAGAGGCATGGGATTTGGCATAATTTGGAGAGTCAGATGAGAATAGAAGAGCAATAGTGATTTGGACAACATTTGAACACAAAGAGGGAAAAAGTATGAGGTATTTTTTAGTGAACTGGGACATAAACTAGTTTAGCTGGATAATATTAAGGAGGAGAAGTGATGGAAACAGGACTGAAAAGGTCAGTTGAGAACAGATTATAGGAAGCCTCTAAGGCCAGGCTGATGATTTTTTACTTTATTCTTAAGTATAAAAGCTTTTAGCTATGGATTTGTTTGGGGGCTGCATTTAGTAAGGTCTAGACCTATCTTTAGGTTAATTTTAATCCCAAAATGGGACAGTAGATTCTATACAATTGAAAGTTTGCTATATGATTGCCTTAATGACGAATTAATGACTTTGCCCTTTTATTTTTGCTATTGTTAATCTTCCCAGGTCCTAACTCCCAGAATATCTGAATTCCCAGAATCATCTAGTCTTATACTAGATATCAATATTCTACAGGACCTGTATATGCTCTTATTTTCCCTGAAACTTCTGGAGAGCTACTTACACAAGCAAAATGTCTTTGCTGCTAAATAGATATTTAGGATGTGACCTATAAATCTTTGTCTTTTTTGTTAGTCGTAGTCTTGGAGGGAAACTCGGGGCCTCTGTCATTGAAATCCTGGGGATAGAATACATGGGTGAACTGACCCAGTTCACTGAATCCCAGCTCCAGAGTCATTTTGGAGAGAAGAATGGGTAAGTGATTCCTAATACTTTTCAATCATAACTCTTATTATGAGAATACTAAGTTCAAATAGAGACCAAAGAATTTAGTAGTCTAGGTCTACCTTTAGGTTAGCATTTGCTCCTTGTGGTAATTTTATTGGTCATTTTGCTTCAAAATATTAGATAACTATGAAAAAAATTAGATAACTATGGCCTTGTCAGTCTAGAGTAGTTTTTTCATGTACCTAAATAGGTTGATGGGAACTGTTACTTTGAAGCTTAGATATATACAAGTACATCATCTATGTAAGCTAAGATGCTGATATTCACTTAAAATCCTTGTATTTAGGCTTAGTAAGTACCAAAAAACTTGGGGATATAAATCAGTGGCTTGCTTGGCACTTTTCCAAAAATACAAATAATGACTTGGTTTTGAAAAGCGTAACCAGCATTCCTCTCCTTGGCAATATATTGCACTGGAGTTCATTGAAAAGGGCAGGGATTCTGTTAGAGGTAAGGTATACTTAATTTTGGACAAACGTTTCCTTTTTCATGAAGGTGATAAAAGGATAGTATAATATAGGTATTTTGTTTTGTTTTAATAAGAATAATCATTTGTTTTCACCTTAAACTTTTTGGCTGGTTTTATTAGATCTTGGCTATATGCCATGTGCCGTGGGATCGAACATGATCCGGTTAAACCCAGGCAAATACCCAAAACCATTGGCTGCAGCAAGAACTTCCCAGGAAAGACGGCTCTGGCTACTCGGGAACAGGTCAGCAGGCTTTTTTTTTTTCCTTTGTGGGTGCCAGAACCAACGGTCACCAGCTGCCCATATACCAGCACATTATGCTTCCAAAATCTTGATGTCAGTTCCACATGTAGAGCAATCAAGCTGCCCAACGTGTGCTGCTCATGACAGCACCCCCTTTAGGCTGGTCTTCTTGGCAGAACATTGCCTCTCTCACGGGGTTAGGTTTGGGTACTGCAGAAGTTTAACAAGTTAGATGGAAACTTGATGCTGTAAAGTATGAAGTAAATAGAGTTCTTTTGTGTGTATTGAAAATTGACTAGTTTTAATGTGATTTATTATTTTTTCATTGTTTTCCTCCTGAAAAGAAATAAAATAGTAGGTGAAAACTTGGGAGGCCTAGGATATTGTGTCTTAAGTTTGTGTCTTTTTTTTTTTTTCCTCTTTCTTCTCAGAGCTGGAACATGCCTGAAATTCACTTCATGGCATGCCAGCAGGAAAAGAAAATGAAAAATTATAACTAGGGCAGGTCAGAGTACTGAACATTTCTATGACTGTTGGTCCCTTGGTTATAGGGAAAACTTTCTTGTACACTTACGTTTGGGGGAGAGCTTAACAAATCTACCATCTAGTTCTACAATAAACTACAATTTTAAAATGAAAGATTAAAATATCAATACTTTTTTTAGGTACAATGGTGGCTTTTGCAGTTAGCCCAGGAACTAGAAGAGAGACTAACAAAGGACCGAAATGATGTAAGATTTTCTTTCTTTATTCCTTGGGTGAGCTTTGGGATTTAACATACCAGTTTAAATATCTTACCTTTTGGAGTAGAAACAAAGATACAAAAATATACCAACTAAGAACTTTTAAGGAATCTTTTACCTGCTTCCATAAAAGTCAACATGATCTTCAAAAGCCTGGATCTGTAAACATAAGACCTGATATTCCTGTCTCCCTCATTACCATTTGCCTCTAACTTTTGTGAGTATGTCCTTTTTTTGTTAACTTTCAAAAAATGTATTGATTTTTAGAGAGGAGGGGGGAGGGAGAAACACTGATTTATTGTTCCTCTTATTTATGCATTCATCGGTTGTTTCATGTATGTGCCCTGACGGGATCGAACCCATAACCTTGCTGTATATCGGGATGATGCTCTAACTAACCGAGCTACCCAACCAGGGCTTTGTGTATTTCTTTATCTGACTACTTCTGAAGCCCTGAATATACAGTGGATCTTTATCAGAGTACAGAGCCATTAAGCAGGACATTTAGAGATTGGACTGTAAATTATTGGACTTAAACATAGTCCAATAATTTACAAAGAAGTACTAACAAAGAAGTACTGACAATTGCCCTGGCTGGGTGATTTGGTTGTTTGGAGTGTTGTCATGAACACCAAAAGGTTGTGGGTTCAGTTCCTGTTCAGGGCACATACCTAGGTTTCAGGTTCAATCTCTGGCCGGGGTGTGTATGCGAGGCAGCAGATCAATGTTTCTCTCTCTCCCTTCCTCTTTAAAATCAACAAAAACAGTTTTAGCTCTGGCCATTTTGGGTCAGTGGTTAGAGCATCAGCCCACAGACTTAAGGGTCTTGAATTCAATTCCCAGTCAAAGGCATATACCTTAGTTGCAGGCATATACCTTAGTTGCAGGTTCAATCCCTGGCCACCTGGTTGGAGCGCAAGCAGGAGGCAACCAACCAATCAGTGTGTCTCTCATGTTGATGTTTCTCTCATCTCTCGCTTTTCCCACCCCCTCCCTTCCATTCTCTCTAAAATTCAGTGGAAATAATATACTCATTCCTTGGGTGAGGACTTTAAGAAAACCGTTTTAGAGACAGTGTTAAGTCAAAGACCTGACATCTGATGATTTGTTTTTCTATCTACTCTCCTAAAAAAACCAAAACCAGCTTTATTGATGTATATTTTACATACCATAAAATTCACTTGTTTAAAAAAATTCACCCATTTACAGTGTACAGTTCAGTGGTTTTAGTATTTTCCAGTTGTTCAACTATTCCACAATCAATTCAAGAACATTTTCATCACCCAAAAAAAATCCTATACCTATTAGCAGGTATTCCCCCAGCCCTAGGCAATCACTAAGTTTCTGTCTCTATAGACTTACCATTCTGGTCATTTCATATAAATGAAATAATATAGTATGTGACCTTTTGTGAGTGGTTTGAAATCTTTAAGTTAAAATAATATTTTTAAGGTTCACCCACATTGTAGCATGTATCATTATTTTATTCCGTTTTATAAATGAATATTCTATTGTATAGATATTACATTTTGTTTACCCATTCATCAGTGAGTGGATATTTGAGTTGTTTCTACTTTTTGGCTATTATGAATAATAGTGTTGCTAAGAGCATTTATTTACAGATTTTTATATAGACATCTGGTTTTCATTTCTCTTGCTCCTATATAATTAATACCGAGAATTCCTGGGTCACATGGTAACTCTGTTTAGCATTTTGAAGCTGTTGCTGCACTCTTTTACATCCCCAGCAATGTAAGAGAGTCCTAATTTCTCTATATCCTTGTTATTGTCTTTTTATTTTATTTTATTTTTTTAGCCCTACTAGTGGGTATAAAGTTTGTGGTTTTCACTTGAAAACCTTATTGTCCATTTTCTTATCCTTTGGGGAGAAATGTCTGGTGAGGTCCTTTACCCATTTTTTAAATAGGTTATCTATTGCATTTTAGGAGTTACTTTTATATTCTGAGTATAAATCTCGTCAGATATATAACTTACAAATTTTTCTCTCCCATTCTCTGGGTATTCTTTTCATTTTCCTGATGGTATTGTTTGATAGGCCTTTCCCTTTTGAAACTTCTGGGAGTTTCAAAATGTATACATGTCAACTGTATACAGTCAGGAACTATCCAAAACTACCTGTATGCCCCCTTTGAGCTGAATGTTGGGGAATGTTTGTTCTTTGCAGTTAATAAAGAGGGGTATGATCCTAGTTTATTGTTGTGAGACTATTTGACTTTGCCCACTAGGTGTCGCCTCGTTCTCATCTCTACTAGTTTAAGTCTCTGGGACTTTTCTTCCCACTTTGCAGTGCAACTCAATAGGTAGGGATGCCTGTAAATTAATCTGTCTTTAAGCTTAAAAGGACTTTATCCCCAAAGAATTCTGGACATAGAAGATCATATCTTTTTCTTTAAAATATTCTAGCCCTAGGTCAGTGGATAGAAGGTTGGCCTGCAGAGTGAAGGGTCCCGGGTTCTGGTCAAGGGCACATGCCTGAGTTTCGGGCTCGATCCCCAGTGGGGGGTGTGCAGGAGGCAGCTGATCAATTATTCTCTCTCATCACTGATGTTTCTATCTCTCTCTGTCCCTCTATGAAATCAATAAAAATATATTCTAAAAATAAAATAAAATATTCTAGTGGTTTCCCTTCACACTTAAGTCTCGTGTGGATTTATTTCATTTTATAATGACCGATATGATTTGGTCTCTGGTTACGTCTCTAACCTCATCTCCTATCCTTTCCTCCTTACTCACTCTGCTCTAGTTTCCGCTCCACTGGCTTCCTTCCCTTTTATTTAACACAACAAGCAAATTCTCACCTTAGCACTTTTGTACTTTCTTGAGCCTGCAGAAGCTTTGCTTATATTCTTAAAATTTGCTTCCACAGTTTATTTAGGTCTCTGCTTAAATCTCACCTTCTCGAAGAGGCCTTCTCAGCTACCCTCTTACATCAGCAGCCTCCAGCACTCTCTGCCTTACTATGCTTTTTTTGATAGCCCTTTGTAGTCACTTTTATTACAGGTCTACTTGTTTAGTATTTGTAGCTCCTACTACAACATAAGAGCCATGAGGGCTGCCCAGCTGATGTGGCTCAGTCAGTGCTTGAGTGTCAACCTATGCACCAGAAGGTCACCAGTTTAATTCCTAGTCAGGGCACAAGCTCTGGTTGCAGGCTCAACTCCCAGTGGGGGATGTGCAGGAGGCAGCTGATCGATGTTGATGTTTCTCTCTCATCATCATCAATGTATCTCTCTCTCTCTCTCTCCCTCCTCTCTTTCTCTACAAAAAAAGAAAAAAAGAAAAAAAATCCATGAGGAGAAGGACTTTTGTTCTACCCTATTATCTCTGCCTATATGAAGTAGGCATTCAGCTATACTTGAATGGTTTAGTCAACAGACTCCTTTTATAATTGCCAATGTGTATTCTTTAAAGATATACAAATCTGTAGGACTTGTATTTCAAAGTATACAAAAATACAAAATTCTATTTTTACTCCCAAATAGTTGCTACTCTTGGCTTGTTTGCCTTACAGGTATTCCTTCTCAGTAACATCTTTGAATTTTGAGGGGGTCCCAGTAATAGACGTTTTACCTTCTTATATTTCGGCCACTTGACCTTTGTTTCTTAGTTTGCTTTGCAGCAGGAGCATTCAGATGCTTAGACTTCACTAGAAAAATGAACCAATGATCTTGCTGTCTGGAGGCAGGCTCACTACACTGTACCTTCTAGTGATGGGCTGTAAGAAGGGGGTGCTAGTGAAAACTTCTCTCTTATTAAGCATCAGAGCAGATTAAAGAACAAATCCACTACTCCATCTTGACATCCTAGCTTGGATCTTCCATTCAAGACAGTTACTTATAAGAGTTCTTCCTTCAGCCACAAGATAGAATATAGTACTACAGGTATTTGTTATCATCTTCCTGCATAGACACCATAAAAAGAACAATCAGGAGAGTCCATTTTATTTATTCTCTCCTCTTCGCATCACCTGTCAAAATTTCCTAGATATCCTAATAATCATCCAAATTGTATCATCTTTAATTTCTTCTTATCCACCAAAATAGCACAATTTTTTTTTTAATTTCAAATTAAACTTGACTATTTCCAAACCATTCTGTCACCCTGGTTCTTTTATTGTTCTCTCACACAGTTCAGTATACAGAATCCAGATGCTCACGGTAACTTTAGTTCTGGTCTCAATCCTTTTATACCCACAGAATGACCGGGTAGCCACCCAGTTGGCTGTGAGCATTCGTGTACAAGGAGACAAACGTCTCAGCAGTCTGCGCCGCTGCTGTGCCCTTACCCGCTACGATGCTCACAAGATGAGCCACGACGCATTTGCTGCCATCAGGAACTGTAATACTTCAGGAATCCAAACCGAATGGTGAGTTTCTTTCTAGCTCATTTTTTCAGAAGAGACTTATACCCTGTCTTGCTCTAAAATTAGTGGGTAATATAAACTTTCCAGCCGGGGTCGTTGTGACTCTGGCTAGCAGGACCTATTACCGAGAGCAATAGTCATGCACAAAGGAGAGAAACACAGTAGAAACACCAGCAAAAAGACAGCTCAGCCGCAACTTCTTTGCCTACACTTGGTGCAATCCAATTCCCAGGGGTAGGTGTGAGAGACAGAGTGAGTCAATACTATCCTTACCTGTATCATTTGCAATAGTCAGGGGAATGACCAGTTGCACTTGGGAGTACAGAATTAACGTTTCAAGAACACAGCACACTTGGGAACTTCTTTCTCAACTACTTGATTTTTCTATCTTAAAAGCATCTTCCTTGATAATGAAACCCACGCTCATTGATAATCTCTATCTAGCATCCAAACTAAGTTACAAGCTCCATGGTACAATACCAAATGTCATATTAAATAAACTATAGTCAGTCATGAAAAATAACCAAATATATGATCGGATGGTGTTCATTTACTATCCAGATACTATTTTCAATGTTGGAATCCTTTAACTATTTAACAGCCTATTACATTTTTTAAAAAGTATTCCAGTCTGGCTGGTGTGGCTCTGTGGTTGAGAGTCAACTTATGAACCAGGAGGTTACTGTTTGATTCGTGGTCCCAGTCAGGGCACATGCCAGGATTGTGGGCTCAGTCCTCAGTAGGGGGCACGCAGGAGGCAGCTGATCAATGGTTCTCTCTCATCACTGATGTTTCCATCTTTCTCTCCCTCTCCATTCCTCTCTGAAATCAATAAAAATATAAAAGAAATATAAAGAAAGAAAGCCTGTTAGTGTTAGTATCAGGTGGTGCCCTTTTAAAAACAAAATGGGTGAGAGGTTTTTTTAAAAAGTTTTTCCTGTCTAAATTTTCTGAAGCTCTTTGTTACCCCAAGTAAAGTTTCTTGCCCTATCCCTGAATTACAGCAGCTCTGCAGTAGTATCGTATGAAAACAGTAATATGTAGCTGTCAGGGGATCCAACTTACACATATGTGACTGGTTCACCAAGTCAGCAGTTCTCAAGATGTAGTCCTAGATCAGCAACATCAGCATCATCTAGGAACTTGTTAGAAAGGCAAATTCTCTGTCTATCCCAGGTCTATTGTATCTACATTAATCTGATACACCCTAAAGTTTGAGAATCAATGCAGTAATAATTACCTCTTGTGGCAGAATCAGAATCCCAGTCACTTATAATTCAAATCTGTGACCTCGTGCTAATCTTGTTGTTTTTTTTTTCTTTCCATACAGGTCCCCTCCCCTCACAATGCTTTTCCTTTGTGCTACCAAATTCTCTACCTCTGCCCCTTCATCTTGCACAGACATCACCGTCTTCTTGAGTAACGACTCAAGTCCTCTGCCGAAGGTACCAATTACCAGCCCAGAAAGTAAGACCCAGGGAAGTGGCCCTATGGTGACAGCCACTAAGAAAGCAACCAATCCTTTGGAATCCTTTTTCCAAAAAGCCGCAGAAAAGCAGAAAGTCAAAGAAGCTTCACTTTCATCTCCCACTGCCACTACCCAGGCCCTCAAAAACAACTCACCACGCAAGCTCTCATTACCTTTCCAGACCAGCCATACTACAGGAATCGAGCCCTTCTTTAAGCAGAAAAGTCTGCTTCTGAAGCAGAAACAGCTTAATAATCCTTCCATCTCCTTCCCTCCACAAAATCCACAGCCTAGTCCTAAAAAGTTAAACAATGTTCCAGCAGAATGTCCAGATTCTGCCCCCGTCTGTGAGGAGGTTTTGAAGCTAGAATCCTGTAAAGCGACTCCTGCAGAGATGAATTTGGCCCAGAACAGCCCCAGTGGGCTTGCTCCTCTAACTCCCCAGTCTGCTCTGGAGGGGGCTCAGAAGACAACCACTGTCCCGAGTCTTCTGGCTGCTGAGGATCAAGTGTCCTGTGAGAAGTGTGGTGGTCTGGTACCTGTGTGGGAGATGCCGGAACATATGGACTACCATTTTGCACTGGAGTTGCAGAAATCCTTTTTGCAGCCCCACTCCTCAAACCCCCAGGTTGTTCCTGCCAGTTCTCCTCAAGGCAAAAGAAATCCCAAAAGTCCTTTGGCCTCCAGTAATAAACGCCCTAGGCCTGAGGGCATGCAGACATTGGAATCGTTTTTTAAGCCATTAACACACTAGTGCTGCCCTCAGGCTTGCTACAAGGTTTTAATATTTTATTTATAACCTGGGAAATGGAAATATGTTCACTTTTCAAGGAAATTCATAACTTTATAAAAAATTTTGTAAGAAAAATAATGCACTTAAATGCTGAGTTAAGGCTCCCATCTCTTCGCCGGCATGGATCCTGATTTCATTGCTGACAGAGATGTAAAAATTCATCTTCCAGAGATACAACTGCTTTCAGTTTTTAATTGCTAAGTGTTTAGGGAGGCAGTCATATAGGTAAAAATGTGTGGACCTGGAGCCTCAGAGATCTGGTTCCAAACCTGGTTCTGCCTCCTAAGTATATGGCGCTGAGCAAGTCACCTTCCTCACCTTTCCTCACCCTGAGAGAATGAGCAAAATAAAATAATGCCTTACAGGTCACTGAAGATTAAAGTACTGTAGCACAGAAAAGGAACGGAGTAAAAAAAAGTTTTTTAGAAAATTTCCCCTTATCTCTGTGACAGGGGTCACTCAGTAAATACTGAGTTTCATACAAGCAAACTGTATGATAAACAGTTTTAGCCACTGGCCCTTCTACCTCTTGCATCATGTCCTAACGTACAAGACTGTTACTGCACCACTTCAGGAACTCTGTTTAATCATGACTTGGATAAGTCATGATCAGAACTAGATCAGCTCTAGACCTTTGCTACTCTGAATGTGCTTTTCAGGAGCAGCAGCTTCATCAGGGGACTTTTAAAAAAGTAATGTATATATTTATTGATTTCAGAGAGGAAGAGAGAAGGAGAGAAGAAACATCAATGATGAGAGAGAATCCTTGATCAGCTGCCTCCTGCACACCCCCTACTGGGGATCGAGCCTGCAACCCAGGCATGTGCCCTTGGCCGGAATCGAACCTGGGACCCTTCAGTCCGCAGGCTGACGCTCTATCCACTGAGCCAAGTCAGCTAGGGCAGGGGACTTGTTAAAATCATCTCAGCCTCACCCCACCTCAACTGAATCAGAATCTGTATATTAACAAGATTCCTCAGGCTGTATCTTAAAGTTTGAGAAGTACTGATCTAGAAGATACCAACAACCAGCCAGGTTTGTAGAGAGCATTTACTTAAATTCTAAAGTACAAATTTAAGGGGTAATATTTGGGCCTTCAGGGTCACTGGTGTGTTCATCTCTTTCCTAATAAAATGACTATTTAGCTTAAGGGTTTTCAATTATTGTAGCTTTTTTGCACTTGTCCATGTTTATAGTACTGTATTCTTAGCTCTGTTCTTATATGTGGAAAGTCAGCTTTTCTGATATGGGGGAACCTTGAATAAAACTGAAGATGAAGGGTAGTGAAGACATTGGGGGGGGGAGGGCGGTGGATGGGAGATATCTGTAATACTATCAACAATAAAAAATATATAAAAACTGAAGAATTGCGTTTGGTGGTGGGGGTAGTAGAGAAGTAGGGAGAATGGTGTACATATCCCCCCTCCCACACATACACTCAAACCAACTGCTTTTTAATCTTATAAACTGGGGATCTGTATTTACTTTGAAGATGGGGGGAAATATTTGAAAACCACTAGGTCTAACAGAAAATTTATTCCTCCAAAAATAGTTTCCTTTTTTTATTGCAGTTAAATATCTAATAAAAGATAGTATTCACTGTGTGCATGGTCCTTTC